TGTACTTTAATCTATCCGTAACGCAGGGTCGTTTACCAAAAGACTGGAAGAACGCCATAGTAAATCCCGTCTTCAAAACAGGTACGAAACATAAACCTGAGAATTACCGACCCGTTAGCCTAACTAGTGTGGTTGTTAAAATCTTAGAAAAGATTATTCGGTAGGAGCTATTTAAGTACCTCGATGAAAACCGGATCCTTTCGGAGAAGCAGCATGGTTTCAGAATAGGTTATTCTTGTCTCACTAACTTATTAGTCGCTCGTGAAAGTTGGTGCGCTCTTAAAGACCAAAAGTTACCCGTAGACGTAGCCTACATTGACTTCAGCAAAGCTTTTGACAAAGTTCCGCACAACCGGCTGTTATATAAGCTAATAAATGTCGGAATTGGAGGCAATCTATTGATGTGGATAAAAGACTTCCTAGTTGGGCGCCAACAAAGAGTACGCGTGAACTCAAAGTTATCTAGCTGGGAAACTGTGCTTAGTGGAGTGCCCCAGGGTACAGTTTTGGGGTCAGTGCTATTCCTATTGTATGTAAATGACCTTCCTCGTCTACTATCATCATCGGTCTTGCTATATGCTGACGATGTCAAGATATGGAGAACGATACGATGTAAGGGTCATAGCTTAGAACTCCAAAATGACCTGAAGAAGTTATCTAAATGGTCTCAAACCTGGCAGTTGCCGATAAATACTTCCAAGTTTGTTGTGGTGCATATCGGTCATCAAGGTACAGATACATACACGACAAATAACACTGAGCTACCTGTCGTCCAGACATATAATGACTCAGGAGTCATCGTTAGCCAAGACCTAAAGACTACTGCACACTGCCGTGCAATAGCCGCCAAATGTTTTAAAACCTTATGGTCAATACTTAGGGCTTTTAGTCATGTGGACGCTAAGACGCTTTTGACTTTGTATACAGTGTTCGTTCGTCCTAAACTTGAGTACTGCATACAAGCGGCTAGCCCCTGCTTAAAAAAAGACAGTGAGCTTCTGGAAAAGGTTCAGAGAACGGCAACTAAGCTGATTCCCGGAATGGCGAAGCTTCCGTATGAAGCTCGACTGGCCAAGCTGAACCTTTTCCCGTTGTCATATCGCAGAACTAGAGGGGACTTGATTACAGTTTTCAAATTGCTTAGTGATAAACTTGCACCTGATACGCCCTCATTTTTCTTGTCTTCCAAAACAGAGAATTTACGAGGACACTCCAAAAAAGTTCACAAGCCCAAAACAAATTATTTGTCAGATGACTATCGACTTTCCCATCGAATCATCAACGCGTGGAATTCACTACCTCAGCACGTGACTGAGGCTCCATCCGTCGACTTTTTCAAAAGGAAGTTGGATCAACTGGGAGATCACCATTGCCAGGACTAACACAGGCCATCAAGCCTCTTGACCTTTCCAAACTGAAACTGATTTGTTTATAAGCTCTTGATATTACTTTTTAATGAATAGTAGTATATTTAAAAGCCTGGATTATTGCTACCAGAACAACCACTTTTGTTATGCTGGAAATTAGATAGCAGTTTTATGATATTTCTTTGGATGCAGTTAATTACGTTTACAATAATACATTGCTTGTTGTATTTAACTGTATCAATCGAGGTCTAAATAAAACAATTTTTGACGGTAATACATATGAAACCTTCCAGATATCACTCACATACACCTGTTAGTTCTGGGCTATCCTTTTCATTAGTCCACAACCTTACATAGTAACCTATTCCCAACCCAGTCATCGTTTACTCGGTGATTCAAAGACGCCTATCGTTGAATACTAGCATCCTACAGTATTCTTCGGTCTTAATGGTCATTTACATATGACCTGTCCTCCACGTACTATGACCTTGAAGTGCAGTCACTCGTATGAATCCCGGATGCTGGTGGCGATTTCCTCACGTACTCCATGATGTCGAACGAGATTCCACAAGCTATTGCCATTCATGCTGTAGAATATTTTCTAATAATCAAGGAGGCTGGTGTTCAGTAATGAGTTTCATTCAATTGAGTGTTCAGCAATGATCCGTAGTATTGTAATTTAGGCAGAAACTGATAGAGCCTCACGAAATTCAAATTGTTGATCTTCAAGATGTATCTTATGTCGTTTGGAGCTTGTTGCTCGGACCCACTCCGAACTCTCTAAGCTTGTTAGGTGCTTAGAGAAAACATATATTAAGCTTTTATAGCGCTGTTCATTCATTTTTCCAGAACTTCTTCATTTTCAGGTTGACTAATACCATGTGATGATGTCTTCATAATCCGTTCCTGTCTCTCTGTTCGTACATCTCACATGCACCTTGTAAATATTTTATTGACGCAGATGTGGTCAGTCTCGTTTCTTGTAGTGTGTCCCTGTGATTCCCGTGTAGCTTAGTGTATGGGATTGTCGGGAGAAATACTGTGGTCTATAGTCACCATGTTGTTGATAGCACATAGATTCTCCAGTCGCACTCCATTCTCGTTACCCTCTCGTGGTCTATGTCGTCACATAATGCGTTAGTATCCGGTATTGTCTGTCCCGAATTCGATGTCGATGTCTCACATCAGGATGATCAACATTTTTCTTGAAGATTTGTTCAGGGTGAGTTGGAGTACTTCGTCAAACTGGTGTTTAAGATGTTCTCTGTGGTGACTGGTAAGTTCGTTGCAGAGGATAGCGTCGATCGTAGTGCTTGGTTTCTTTGTCTTGAGTGATGCTTAAATGGTCCTGGAGCCTTGTGTTTGTCTTGTGTTACATAAGCGCTTATCCTGGTTCTTTAGATAACGTGAGTGCGACTCCTTGTATGTATTGAATATTTCTGTTTCTGAACGAAATACAATGAGTGGTCTCTCGAAGTTATTGTTTTTGTTGAGATAGTGTTTAGTGTGTTTTACTTATTGCAAACACATTCAGGTTGCGTCTGCTGATTTCCTCTGTTACTCGAATGGTTGTTCCAATCCCTACCAGTTTTCGACATTCCATGTGCGTGTATTTATTGTCGGTTTTGGTTTTGTCGGAGGAGATATGTTGTTGGTGATTCCCGAAGAATTTTGGCTTTCGTCATGAGTCGTGAATCACTGTTCTATAGGAAAATTCTTGAACTTCCATAATAGAGTGTAAGTGGGTTGGTTGGTGTATTGTTGTTGGTGTGTTTTCACGATATGATTTCTCGTAGTTTCCTACAACATGTCATGGGATAAAATCTATCTTTAAACTACATTCATTAATCTACAAGAACATCTAGATTGGTGCTTCTCTTTTAGATTGTTCATTTAAAACTATTGATGTGTGTTAGATTTTAGAATAAACTTTTGGGTGAGATAAATGTCAAAACTATCGAAACGTGAGTTTACAGCTTCAAGAAGCAACTAATACTGATCATATTTAAAACACTATGGGGACTGATGCTGTCAGCAGAATTCTCAGCCATAGCCCACAGTATCATAGTTATAGATGTTACTACTGGATTATTTGGGCAATGGAAGATCTTTTGAAATACTAGGATGTTTGTACACTAATTAAATGGATCAGTCGAAGTACTGAAAACACTGGAATGTTATCGGCAGGATTTCGTCAGTACTAAGGACTAGAAAAAATTATTTTCGCGAATACTTTGAGTGACTAACAAAGATGATTAATTCTAATGGTGTTAAACAGGAATGATATGACTTCCTAGATTATGTCGAGGTCACATCCCGCTACCAGTATCTAATCTTGTGTATCTTGTTTTGATAACACTGTGAATCATCTTACTTGGTGACTCTCTAGAATACATAAGGTTTAACAGGGATAGTTCCATCTCTTGATAGGAACAGATTAGAGAAGGATTCATAACAAAAAATAACACTGAGGACATAAAAGCTCTGAAACTATTAATCCTTTCGATTAATTTAGCTAGAGTAGAAAAAAATATAACGTTTCTGATATGTCTAAGTGATTTCAAGAAAACATAAACTCCAAGACAATAAAAAAGGATCCTTATGTAATTGTGAAGCATTTTATAAACTAGTAGTAAGACTGACCTTAAGATGAATCTTTAAGAAATGTGTACCGATAGTCAGAGATAAACCTCAGTCAAATAAAAATTCAAGTCTCCACACTTTACCGAAAATCCAAGAGTAAGTATTCTGGTGACGATAATTTCAACTTCATCATTCAAAATGGTGTGAATGCTTTTGTTGTTATATTATGACCTGTCTAGTTAGACAACTTTTGTTTTTTTTTATACATATCTTAAGAAGTTATAGAGTAAACAGATTGTTCAATGTATACGTATTCGAAAGCAAATAATCAACTTTAAGTTATTATCGTATCAAATATTTTATTGAAATCGTGAATCGATCTAAGTTGGATTACCACTGAAAGCCTGGACGACCGTTTCGTCCTAGAATGGGACGTTTTAGCAGTGCGCATGCATGGTTCCGTACGCAGAACTCGGACCCAGGACTTTCGGTCTTGCGCTAACACTTAACTTGTAGACAACTGAGCCTAGATGGGTAAGATCAGCTAATGATTTTAATGAAGTTCAACAATTTCCACACCTCCATAATTCAATATTTTATATTAGACTAGGAGTATATATAGTCCTATGTTTAACTTTCTCCTATTTTCGTGGAGATTTAAACATTGCTCTGTCTCTTCTAATTTGAATATTTAATTAGCCTTCATATAAAACGTTCCCCCGAAAGTTTGTGTACGTATATAAAAGCTTTTTGTTTCGAAAATACTGAAGAAATCTTGAATTTGCCAAGTCAGCACTTTTTTCACGAAAATCTCTCTTAAAATTGACACATATAGATCTAGACACCTCATATTAAAATGTCTAGCAGAGTTTAGTTATTCTGTAATGAAAGTGCTCGTTAAAGGTTCCTAAATTATGAGTTGAAAATTTATTGTGAATATACTGAGTCACAGACAGTCGTTTTCTGAAAATCCCAGAAATTTTCAATCTTTTTACTAGTATTCATACAGTTTTTTCTACGTATAGCATATATTTCTTTATTATCTTACAGGCATAAAACAGAGTGTAAATCTCTAACCTCCCACAGTCTACCAACGAAACATTATCGCACTCGTGACTCTGTACTGACTACACTGTTTCAAATCTCTCATATACGCACTGTTTATAATATATTTGTTGCTGTGACAATAATCTTCTCAGCGAATACAGTGATACAAGATTTTATTGATCCTAAGATTAATCTATATGCCTACGATATGGACATATTGCGATTCACATTTGGTAATTTAGATGATGTATTCCGTATATGGCTTTCAATGAAGATGTCCACTATTTTTATACCATTTTGGGGTGTTCTGTTGTGGATGGCTTATAGACCAAAGGTTGGCAAGAAAATCTGTCCAACGGATTGGATTTTCTTTATTGCGTATATTATTTATCAGGTTAGTTGAATTTTAATATCTGTTTTTTCTTCTAGGTTTATATTTTTTCATCTTTTACTTAATTAAATCTGCTTGCAGTTTTAACCGTGTTGATCATATAAACAACCACTGATAAGTGTGATTCATACTGGCGAAAAAAGATATCAGTCTTCAGGATTAAATAGAGTAAACTTTTTGTATAGTATGTATCATAATCTACCATAGTTTAGTCGGTTGGCTGGTGGTCATCATCTCATTTCTCAAACTACTAAAAATCTGAAAACTAGATAAAATTATTTATTTTCAATGATGTACAACAGAGAAAATTTTCACGAAATACCATGACCAGTGATTTTAGTCAAGATAAGAGTGGCAGAATGTGTTTGTTGTTAATATTAGCCAATAGTTATAAAACACCAATGCGTTCTTCCTGAAATCGGAAAACGTTGTCTGGTGAAAATGTTTGAAGTGATGTTTTTGATTAAGTATGTTGATGTCTATGCGAAACAAATACTTCTACCTTTTCTATTGTTTTGTTGAAACAAATCGATCATAAAATGTAAACGAGCAATTTATTAATAAATTAAACAGCTGCAGAAAGATTTGACAATATTAGTGAATTTTTCTATCAAGAATTAGCAATGCCAAAAAACTATGGAAAACCAGTAAGTACTGAATGGACGTTTCATTTTATGTTGACTCACTTCGACAGTAAATACCAACGGTGAACAGCATTGTGTTTAACCTTCTGATTTACATGTTGTCGTCATCATTTAGGAAAAACTTTTATTGTTGTTTAAATTCATTGACTATCAAATACAGGGAAACAAGAACAAATAATATTATCTGATCAATTTTAAGAACAACAGAACAGTAAACAGGTGTTTCAATCATCAAATTCTGTAATCCCATAAATGCTCTTATTTTTCTTGTATAAAATGAAATTGATAAGAATCCACTGGCTGAAATTCGTAAGCATTGTAAAGAAAATAATGGCGCAATGGCTCAGTGTTATATTGTTAAAAACTTTCATTTAGGATTTGAAACATAATTTCCAATTAAGAAGCCAATAAAATTGAATCAAAAAAGTAAGATAATCAACTATCCTAAATATCATTAGCTCCAAAGATTTTTCAAATCAGAATTAGCGACTTAAGCTAGTGAATAGCACAATTTGTTCAATATTTCACTGATACACACTATGAATAATAATATTAATAATACTATTGATAGTATGAACTAATAGAACTTCTATAGGATAATCGATTATTACACTTTTATGACCATTATACTGTACTACAAGTTATAAATTTCACCAATAAATACCATTTGGAATCACATGATAATAACTAGATGTAATTCACATGAACAAGTTAGTAAAACAGATTAATTTCAAGGTTTAGTATATAGTAATTCAAAGTGGTCGATTAGCGTCTGTATATAATTAAAAAAATAATATGACAAACATCTTACGATTTATTAATTTTCCTATGAATATTAATAAGAACATAAAAATGAAATGATCCATCTATAAATAACAATTCTAATGAAACATCTTGAATTGGTATGGTAGTTTAACCTTACCGCCAAGGTACAACAGAAGAATTACAAAGCATTTAGAAAACATTCAGAATTAAAGCTTTCTATAAAACAACCAACAATCTTTGAAGTGCTTTAGTTATAATTAAATATAAGATCCTGTTAACATCCAAACTGTTATAACTTGTGGCCGCCAATTAGAAAGCAATGAATTATCGATCGGACAAATGACGCGTAAAACCCCTACGAGCAGCCTGGAGTCCTGACTGGTCCCGCTTTCCTCCTGGCACAGACAGTTAAGTACAGAATACCAATCTCAGCCTCTGAGATATGAATCATTTATTTCAAACATACTCGGTTTGTACACCAACCAGATAGACCATATCGTACCAATAAAATAGGAAATAGAATTTATACAAGATTTGGCCAAATGTGGCTGTGAATGTGGAAGGTAGTGATTAATGGATGGGGAGTAATTCAAGAATGGAAAATCATATAGTAACAGTTCATAGGTTAAAATAAAGCTTATGATAAGAGAGACATGAATATTAATAATTTAGTTAACTAATAATTATACGATAAAAATATACGTATAGTATTGGTCCACAAATGGATCCCAAAAAATTACCACTCATTATTCTTATTGGGACATGACACAAACAAAATTAAGTCTACAGTTTAAGTTGTGTCGATTGTAATGCATGTTTTGTCGGATAGTCTTCTCGTGAAAACTGGACTTGAGCCAAGGAACACTTAAACTACAACAGAAAATCTAATAATCCTGTGGAGTTGCAAAATCTATACATTAAACCGGCAATAGCAGTACAGGTTATTTTGAATAACCACCAAGTTGACATTACAAATATATAGATAATCCCAAAAGGCCTTTCCAATTATAAAGAAAGCCGAGTAGCTTAAACATTTCATTTGATACTAAACTCCCCTGTCCTCAATAGAAAAGAAGGACTGACTACTTACTCATCCACCTTGATCTATTTATTATAACAATAAATTTGGCTTTGTTCATATTATACACAACTAACACTGGCATTCACGAACAGATTTCAACACTGCTACTTTATATTGAAAATTTCACATTTTTCATATCCATACAAATAGATAAAATCGATGCCTCACACAGAATTATTGACCCAAATTTAACATGACATTGACGTGACCAGACCTATTTTAACTTTGGTATTGACTGAACTAAATATTCTGGCTTGTTCATATTCTCTAGTTAAACTTGTGTTAATTTAAAATTTATTTATTTACGCTGAACAAGTGGTTTACGTCGAATCACAATATGCCAGGAATTCAGAATTTTACAATCTTTGGGATGTCTTTATTTACTATGATGATTGTTATTCATCACTCATAAGTCTGATATGTACTAGGTATCTGTTTGTTAGTCATTCAGTTAATCGTGAACAACTTATGCTTTGACGAAAATATGCGTTGGTTCAAGCTGTTACACAATATCACACAATATTAAGATTCTTTATAAATAGGCAGTATCAATAACCCATTTACACTCAACTTTAAAACATGTGACACTCGTGATAATACAAATGAGGATAGGAATATTGATATTAATGAATTTACAATATCTTAGTGCTTCTGTTTATGTAATTTCGAAATAAGTTTAGAGAGAGTTAAATGATACTTTGGAATGTTTTTGATTCAATGCAAAGTTTGTTCGTAAACTTGTTAACATTTTTATCGGGCAGTTGCTAACAAAGCTTCATGTACTCGAACGTACTCAGATTTTGGAGAAAATCATATCCTAACTAAAGGAGGTCAAATATTTGAAGCTTGATACTAAGAAGTGACTTTGATTAAACAAACATTGAAAACCAGAATACGTTGGACAGCTGTTTCATCCTAGTATGGAGCTCCACAGAAGTGCACATTTTTGAGCTTGTAGGGGAAAGAACTCAGGACCTTCAACTTCAAATTCAACGATCTTCATAATCCTCTATAAAAACTTGTCAAATATGATTTATAAGTTTCGTTCTCGTTCGGTTTATTTGGCTAAAACTATTGTGTTACAACACGAATCCTGTTAAAGTTGACAGGTTAGTTAGGATTATTAAATCTTTAGCGATGATTTGTAAATGTTTTGTAGAACTGTATTGAAAGACATGGAAATGTTTAACGTTATCCATTTATTCATATGTTAATCGTTAGATGCTTGATTGGATCTAAAACCTATTGAAATGGAATAATAATATTCACATTTAAAATTAATGGTCTGAAATTCGTTTGTTTTTGTTGTTTGACTCTTTCCATTGATGTAATCAATCCCTCTTGACATATGTGCATCCTGTGCGAATTGTCTTGATATTGCCGTTAAGTCACAAGCATCTTACACAGAGTTAGTGAAATCCAAGACATGAGTTCCATGCTACTCGGGATTCGTCAGCAGGTCTCTGTACCCCTATGTTGTTGCTTACATCAGGACACGAACCCAGTACCTTTCGCCTCAACAACCCAGTAAAGTACATCCAGTTAACATGTCCCAAATGGAATGAAACGCATGTTCTGAATCTTCTTTCTAGCCACTGTTCGACTTTGTTTAAAGTATTCTGAAATTTCTAGCATGAAATTCGTTCCACATGAATGGTTCACAATTTAATTTAAAAAGACTGTGAACTCTTCAGATAATGGGACAATGTTTTTGTAGTTTCTTCGAATATTTACATGACATAAATTCTTAGTGACGTAATATTTTGACAACAAACTACTGCTTTGTACGAATCTCCACTCATTACGTGAGCTAAATAGCTCATCCTTCTGTAAGTTATGGAAGTAATGAATAGAAAGTTGTTGCTCAAGGAGATAACCTCAAATGATGTCAGTAAACGTATCAACCTCTGTAATATCTATAGGTATAATCAAGAACTGTGCCCCACACTATTATATATTCACGATAAGGTCCTATAAAATGCATTTTTATGATCCTGAGTAGCACAAAACGACTGTGACCAATGATCAAAAGGATAAATGATGTCCAACTACTCTATGAAGTTTTAGTTTTTGACTGCATTTTCTGACAGATAAACATATCGACAGACTATATAAGCCTTATGGTTTTACTTGCGATAAGCATACAGATTATACTGCCCAAAAATCACGTAAACTTCCATTCGGTTGCATCACTTCATATTTGACAACTTCATTTTTAAAGTACTTATTTATTTAAAAAGATTAGTCCCTTTGATAACCTTATATAATCCAGCGAGAAGAGAAATTGCTTCCTTCTGCCTCCAAATTTGTCTTTTTCACCTTGTATTTTTCATATAGAATGTCTTAACGAGTATATATACATACATAGTTCCGATAACATTCATCTTCTGATTGCATTATCCGAACGTATTTATTTGTTTCCGAGTTTAGCTCAGATAAGAAATCGAATATTACCAAATTATACAATGTGTTTTTTATTGATTTAAAACCAGGTGAAGTTTAGTCATATGTTTTTAGGTACAATACAGATATCTGATTAGTACTGATCTAATACTACGTACAACTTTTAGGTAACCTTCAATTATACCAACATTTTCTGACTGTGAAAATAATAGGAAATATGACTGAAACTAAATTAAACAACTAGAGAATAGTACGGTAGATGTAAATATATACTACAATTTATTTAAATATATGTTCGAATAAGTACATTGACAAGTATTGATTAGATTTATGATACAATAGCTGTACCCAAATTTCATTCATCAGAGAATGTTGCATAAGTCAGATTTCTTAGTAATAATCACATCGTGGATTGGTTGAAATTAGAAATTAACACCGTTGGATGCCGGCTCAGTAGTCTGGAGGTTAGGCGTTTGGGCCTGAGACCGAAGGTCTTGGGTCCGAGTCTCGCGCATGGGGTCGTGGATTCTGACTGCTGAGGAGCCCCATACTATAAGGAAACGGCCGTCCAGTGCTTCCAGGTTTTCCATAGTGGTCTGGCTTTAATCGACTCGTGAATACAACTATTAAATAATTACACTTATTGATCGATGATTAATATGCAATGTTATTTTTGTTTTGCTTTCTGTTTTGTTGGGATGTTGTCAATTGAGTTGTAATATGGGCGCTAGTCTAATTAACCCAACATTGAAGCACAATATGTTCAAAGTATTCTACGGGAATTCTTTAGCATAAAACTCGTTCCACTGTTTTCTCGAAGATATTTATCTAAAGAAAAATAAACCATACTTTTTTTACTAGTATAATAATTTGCTACAAAGTGCAAGAGAAATCCATTTTAAATACTAATTATGCATGCGCATTTGTGGATTATATACATCAGTGAACGAAGCTAGAATGTTGTGATGCTAAACAATTTTTTTTCTTTCGACAATAACAAACTACTTGGTTGAGAAGTTAATAGGGATTATTATGATTAATATTAGTTTGGGTCTCCCAGTAGTGTACACCCACAGTCTTACTAAGGGTCAAACCGAAGACATTCAGACCCTCCAGTAAATAACTAACCTCTAATCATTAATTTAGGATTGAATGGTTCACATTTACAAATTCACACAGCTCTTGATTGATAAATTGGGTACCGAAAGTACGTCATGTGCTTAGCATTTTGAAAATAAAAGTGCTAAAAAACTCAGTACTCTTAATTACGTAAATTTGAAATTACTTAAAAGTTGAATATCAAATCGATTTTTATTTAAAATAAAGTACTTTGATAGACATACAATAGATGACTTGATAAAGAATTAAGAGTTTTTATGTTTTTACTCACAGACTGTTTTAATTGTAATTAGATATAAATTGGTTAATCAATGGTATTTTTTGTGCCTGGATACTAATGATTATCACTATATTTTCAAAGTGTTTAGTTTTATGCAAATCTAAGTTCAGATTTTAGTGGGACCCCAACCATCTCTTAACCAATGCTGATATTTAAGTACTTAAGAAGCATTTTAAATTCTCTAATTGGTTGAATGTGTAAACTATCAATTTTATAGCTATATATTCCAATTCTTGAATTAATTGAACATCTTAAATTATTAAAATTATCCTATTCCCCTGATCATCACTCTATGAAATGACTAACTAGCTATCACTTGAAGAAGATTAGTCTTAGTATCAGTTCTAAGTCATATATATGTATAATGTTACTTTGCTTTCTAAATGTCTAAATGAGAATTTTTACCTTAATTGATTATATCGGTTCAAAAATGACTTCATGTTGGTATTTTCCGAAGATTTTATCAATATATATTTTTCTTTTATTAAACGTAAATATAGGTGGTGTTTTTTATGACGTCATTTCGCTTTACAATAATTTGTGACTTGCCACCGGCTAGTACAGCAATCGTCACAGGTGAACAAGTTCGATTAGTTATGAAATCACATGCATTCGTACGCTATGCAATTGGTAGAATATTTGAAGAAGGTCAAGATCAATCAACACCACCATCACCAACGACCACTGTAACAGCAGGAATCAATAATCATCATCATGTAAACCAATCAAATTCATGTGTTATAGAAATGGAGGAATTTCCTAATTTCTCACGTTATCTTATTTTTTGCTAGCCCCAACTTTAGTTTATCGTGAAAAATATCCACGTACTCGTAGTATACGATGGTATTTTGTTTTTTCCAATTTTTTACAAGTAATTGTTTGTTTTATATTTAGTTATTATATTTTTATGCGTTTTTGTTTCCTACCATTTTCCCAACTTGGTAAATTAAAAAAATTTTCATTCAAGAAATATATTCTAACATCAACAGCTTGTACATTACCAGGTGGTTTATTAATGCTGATCGCTTTCTATTCATTTTTGCATTCATGGCTGAATGCATTTGCTGAAATGTTACGTTTTGGTGATCGTTTATTTTATAAAGATTGGTGGAATGCAACAACATTTAGTGTATGGTATCGTACATGGAATGTAATTGTACACGATTGGTTATATACTTATATTTATCGTGATATACAATTCTTAATTGGAAAACATTCACGTACATTGGCAGCAACCGCTGTTTTTTGGTTATCAGCCGGTGTACATGAGTATATTCTAATGATGAGTTTAAGATATTGTTTACCAGTGTTATTTTTATTTTTAGTGTAGGTGGTTATGTGTTATTTTTTGTACAGGGTAGTGGACGTGGTTGGAATGTAGTTATTTGGATATTATTATTTATTGGTTGGGGTCAAATGATTTGTTTATATTCAATGGAATGGTATGCACGAAAAAACTGTCCACCAGTTATGGATGGTTATCTGAATTTCTTTATGCCACATATTATATTATGTCCTAGTACTAACCATACTGGGCATGTTTGATATATTTAGGAAGAAACCCAATACAAAATAAAGCAGACAACTTATTGAAATTTCTATGTATTTCATTTCTTTTCAATTTTATGTCATTGAATTGAAACATAAAGGAAGAATTTGAAAAGCTCTTCAATTATTATTTACTCTGTCATCTTTCATAAATATATTTTCCAAACTGCTGTCATACAATTCGATTTTTATTTACTTACATTTCTATTTTATTTTATACATAATTAAATAAAACAAATACAAAAATGTTTCGTTGTTCACAAGATTTTGTTTTGCCGTTGAATTTGATTTACATGACGGTAGTGCTTAGATGAATGTAACTAATAAATAGTTATTAATATTAATGACTTTCTAGTTTCGAAGCGCTAACTGTATAGTTGATTTTGAATTTATTACAGATAGGAAAAGATCATAGATAAATGAATGTATCATTGCTACAATATAGTTTGGTAAGCAGGCATAAACATTTAAGCCTGAACGGTTTGGCAATATAGGTTGCAAAGTTCTGAGTTTAGAAAGCTAAATATCTATAAATATTTACATAAAATGCAAACTGTAAAGAGGAGTTGAGAAATGGTTTATAACAGTCATAAAGTTACTAACTTTTAATAAGTCACATGAAGCACTCGAAATATGTTTGAAATTACTATTATTATTGGAAACATTTAAAACTGCTAAAGGACAAACTATGGGAAATTATGATAGGTTTCTAAGCCATTGGTAATTAGTGAAGAGTTTCCTATAGTTCAAATAAACCGAATGTTCTGAGAAATACTGATTTGTTATGATAAGATTCCAACCGATGTGAAGTACTATAATGCCAGTCGGACCGGTGATCTATTTTATCAAGTTACGCACTGGCTAACGAACAACAGTCAAGGTCTTAATGCTTATAGTCTCCTGAACCTCCTTCTAATCCAGTAGCCAATAAGAAGATGATAACACGAAGGAAATCAGTTCTCTGTTGTACCCAATTCAATGATGATTCAGAACTCGTACAATAATATTACTGGAAATGTGTGAACACACAGCACACTAAATAAAAAATCATGCTTTAATGATATCATATGTGAAAGGCTGCGGAGCAAACAGTACATAATTAATTTGCACTAAATAGGAAATAATAAAGAGTGTAACAATAGTCAATAAGTTCACTGAAAAATCACAGTAACGGGTACGTCGAAATGCAAGAATATAATTACCTTGTAGAGTGGCGTCGAGTTGAGATTATCTATGAACACGGCTACCAAGAAACACGTGCCAAGTAAATCAGAAGGCGAAGTTTGAACGTAGCCAAATAAACCATAAAATCCCCGAGAAGCCAAATATCAGAAGGCAATTAATGGACCAAATCGAGATATATTCGCTGGCGACCTCGTGGTATCGAAAGGATACCGAGGTCGTGCCAGGATACAAGCTTGGTTACAGAACGTAACCGAATTCGCGCGAAGTCACAATCAAAGACAGTGAATAATGGATGCTTTTTAGCACAGTTAAACAAAAGCACATTAAAACAAACACTGGTACAGTTGGTTATAATAATAATTGTTTTTATTAAACCAGTCGTGTTTTCGTGATAAATGTGAGTCACTACAACCTATTGACAATGCAGTAAAGATATAAATAATGGTAATACGAAACATAACTCTGAAAGCTCCAACTTTCCCAATATTCATGCTGTGTTAATAAACACCTTTTCCGATCATCTCTGGCTGAGATTAAATAAGTTAACCTGAAACTTTAAAAAATAGGGATGCCTAACAGAAGTTTTGTGATGTTAACTTGTAAGAAAGTTTAACACGTACTGGAACCAAACTTGGGGACTTTTGATCTACAAACAACACATGTACATCCACCTTTACTCAATTAGTCTTTCATTCTTAACGAACTCAGATAACAAGCCTATCAAGGTCACTTGATTTTTCGTTAATGCTATTACTGATTATTCGAAAATAATCACTTAGAACCTAAATTTCAGGGCAGGATTTTTCATCAAAAAACTAAAATTTAACTAACATATTTAAAAGTACTTCGTAAGATGAATTTCGTCTCCAATGCCTAGTTGTTTAGTATTTTATTTCAGTCCACCATTTTCCAGGATTTGTTAGAAATCTTTCTTCCTTTTCCTGTCCATTTTATTATAAAAAGTTATTTTAAGACGGGATTTTAACTTTAAGTAAATTGTCGTCTGAATGAGCTTCTCTATTATACGTTAAGGATCCATATATTCTATAAGTATTCTCTTTGATTCCAATTTGTTTGATATCACACTTTTAAAACATCATTCTCAAACAATATTTACTTTTGAACATGATAAATGTATGTACATCTTTTTGTAAGTAACTTATATAAACATTTGTAATGTGTATAGCTGGGAACAGACGATAAAACAAACATTATCACAGTCCTCATATACATCTTCACTTTGTTGTTTTAGTGGAACCATAGATTAATGTACAAATAAATATCTCTATTGAAAGTCTGAAATAATTACTCCAACGACGTTTGTTTCCGAAGGATTTGCACCTACAACAGCAATTAAATTTGAAAGTAAAGTATTCCTTAAATCAGCGTAAAATTTACTAAACATTGAAATAAAATGCTTGTAAAATGTAACTGTTACATCCTAGTGAAGATAAATTGTGGGTAACTTTTGAGAGCTAATAATGGATTAATATTATACATATATTCTTATTGCATAATTGTCAAGAAAATAAACTATATATGTTTATATTCCTCATATTATAAGCTTTTATTTGACCTACTGGTTACTGTTACATGATTTACTATTCTCAATCTATTAGTCACAGTTTATCACAATCACAGATACTTCTGGCTAGATATTTTACAAATGTTATTTTATGTTTTATAGTGTGATGTGGTCTGATTTGTTAGTATATAAACCAAATATATTTGAAATATATGATTCGATATGACGGCTAATATTTGCATTCTGGACTGAATCGGCTAATTTAGACGAGAAGCTGCTCTTTCAAGGACTAGTAGGAACTCTAGGCTTCTCGTACTGGTTTATGTGTCATTGGATCGGTTATAAAGTAGGTGAATCTAATTGGCGATCATATCACGTCATATATTAACAGGACACAAAGGCCACAAGTGATAACAGTAACAAGGCCCAGTATTCTTCAAAGAGAGTTCAGACTTAAAAATATACTTTTTATTAAGTTTATATATATTTAACGATATATTTAAGTCTTTGCAAATACCGCACGCGCTATCTTTAAACTTTTACAACTAGGTTTTTTAGACATCAATAATGATGTAGGTGTCTGTTGTTTCGAAAGAAAGTTTCCATTTTCATTACCTTATTTTCTGTTAGTACTTTGAAATGTACATCTTCATTTTGTCAATCAACGTTGCATAATTTCGAGGCCTATGAAAGTCAATTTATTGGGAAAACTGGTTGTTTCATAATCTTCACTTTAATTATTAGTCATAATCTAATATGTTAAATAACTTTACTTTTCTCTACAGTATTTCGTAAAACCAATCGATCATATTTTATATTGATTTTATTCTTTCAATTATTAACGTTAATTAGGCGTGATACGTTCAACCATTTGGCATCCTGGTTGCAAGATGCTCGGCAGCATGCAAGCCCAAATATGGTTATTACATTGGTTGGAAATAAGTGTGATTTGGATGCGAGGCGAGAGGTTAAACAGGAAGAAGCTGAAACATTCGCTCGTGAGAATAATTTATTATTCCTAGAAACATCAGCTAAAACCGGAGTAAATGTAGAACAAGCCTTTGCCACTACCGCACGCGCTATCTATGAACGTTTACAACTAGGTCTTTTAGATATCAATAATGATGTAGGTGTCTGTTGTTTCGAAAGAAAGTTTCCGTTTTCATTACCTTATTTAGGTTTGTACAAAAATACTTTATTCATTAGTTTTAACCGTTATAAAAATAATCAATTAATTCGTCTTGATCGGTTATAATTAGACATGGTCTGTTATATGAAAGCAGTCTTCCTTAAACCTGTGATTATTCAGAGGTTGGTATTTTGACGTAAGTTTTCTCGACCCTCAAGTATTCTACTGTGAAGTAGAACGAGAGTTAAATTTTAAGTAAATGGACCATCTGAAAAAATTACAAATACTTTCTTGTTTTATTTTTATCTCAACAACGTAGCACTTATCATGAAAATTTCATATCTTAGTCTCCATATCACCGGGCTTTGCTAAGTCCGCTTGAAATTCCTTGGAGGTCATTCCCAAAGAGTTAAGAACTGAAAGGGCTTTTGTGTGACAAATATTAGAAATACCACCCAACTGCTTAAACCAAAATATGTGAAGGAGAGTTGAAACCTGCCGCATCATTTTTGAAGATCAACGTTCTAGAAACTTGTCTTTCATACTCAAATTTTCTTACTCTTTAATGCATATGCTAATCCTTCCAAAAATGACACGCCCACGGATCAGTTATTATCTTGACTTTCAAATTTCAAAAAAGTTAATCCTTTGTGAATTAATTTCATAGTGCCGTTGAATTTATGTCGAACAATTTCGTGAAAACCAGAAGTTTCCAAATATCTCCACACTACATACTTAGACCTATTACATCTTTTGGGCATAGCTTACTGACCAGAAAGCTCCAACAAACCCAGTCACGACCTTTTCTTTTTAGTTGTTGCCGAGTATTGTTTATGGTCCTGACGTCTACCTTCGATCCTCGACGCTATGTTTTTGTTTACCTCTTTTCCATTTCCCTTAACGACTCGAAGTTAGGGTTCGCCTTATGATGGGGGCTAATGGTTTCCTCAAAGTGTATCCAGTTCACCTCCAGTGTCGTTTACTGATTCCCTTAACTGGTAGCTGGACTGTTCTCTGACAGAGTAGGTTATTCGTGATGGTCTCTGACCAACGAATCTCTTAAGCATTTTACGCAGACAGCTGTTTATAAATATCTGCACATTTTAGGTTGTGGGTGTGGTAGTTCTTCACATCCCGGCTCCGTACAATAGAACTGTT